ATGGACATTCATTCTTAACCTCTTTACGCTTTATGTTATTCACTGGGCTTTTGCTCACTGCTCATATATATATGTAGGTGTTCAGGCACCAGACCGCAGCTAGAGGCGTGGGTTAGACTCCAGTTTTGTCAAGCCAGCCTTTGTGCCTCACTGCGAGGTTCCGAGTTGCCATGCTATGGCTTGGGGGGGTTTTGTTTGTTTTTCCCCCTTCTGTACTGTTTTACTGTTCTGTTTAGACCGAGTGTTACTGTACTGTTATCTAGGGTCGAGTCCCTAGTCTGAATGATTGTAAATATTGTGTATACTGTTCTGTATTGTTTATGTATAAATGTATGAAAAGCCTTTTTGCATACAGACTGTCACAGCTCAATGGACACTATTTATTTACTGTATTGGCTTCCACCAGGCCCTGTACTCTGTTTTACTGTACTACTGTTCTGCAGGCCTTCGGTAATCTCGGATTACTGGCCGGTTACGGTGCTAAATCCATAGGGCCGGGTTTGGGTCGTGACACCGGGAAAGGAATCAATTATGCCAACTATAATGCTTTGGTAGCCAAATATCACTCAACAGCGACGAAAATATTAGTCGCCAAACGTCCTCTTTCGCAACTAATTTATATTTTAGTCGGGAAAAAGCAATATTGTAGATTAAATTTATTTTTTTAGCCTAAAATGTATACTAACGGCGACTAATATCCTGTTTAGTCGCTAAAAATGGAAATTTTTCCGACTAAATTTGAATTTAGTTGTCAATAATATATATTTATTGACTAAAATATTTTAGTAGCTAGATCTTGAACCAACGCCGACAAAATTAATTTTTAGTCGCCAAAAGTAGTCGCCAAATGTGCATTTTGTTGTAGTGAATTTATTTGTGCATGTCTTTATTTAAGGGAAAATTTTGGGAAGTTGATAAAATTATTACATATGCATAAAAAAGTTTATAATTTTAATTATTAATATTGATAAAATTTATTATTAATTTATTTTTTAAATTCTAGACTATTATGAAATTCTCTCTTTATTTAATGACAAATACTAACAAGTATTTTGTAGGTATTGTTTAATATTTGAAAGTATATAAAAATATTAACAATATATTACTTTAAGGAAAAATATATTAAAGTTAATAAAAAATTATCATCATGTTTGGTTCCAAAAAATTGAGTCCACTTTTAAAAAATTGAGTTTTTTGTTTTTTGTTTTTCGTGTTTTTATTTTTTATTTTTAATGATTTTTTTTAATATTTTACGTAATTTTTTATTTTTTAGGTATATCTAATCTAAACACACTTAAAAAGTATAATATTTGTAAAAAAAACTTTAAAAAATTCACCAAATAAAAAAAATAAAAATTCAATAAATTTTCGTTTGTTGTATACAATGAATTTTTAAAATATTTTTGTGCAAATTTTTTACTTTTTAAGTATAATAAGATTAAGTGAATCTAAAACTTAAAAAAAATGATTAAAATATTTTTAAAAATCATTAAAATTATAAAAATACAAATTGAAAACTCAAAAAACTATTTTTGAAAATTCAAACCCAAATAGAGTGCATTATATTTTATAAATATTTGTTATCTTTTACTTGTATTTAAGAACACTTATTAATAAGGCTCTTATTAAATTACCGACATTTGGCTTTTTTTCTTTTTTTCTTTTTTTTTTCTACGTTGTATATGTTATGTGCTAACATATTAAGGAGGTTGTCACGTCTCGCTAGAATAGCTACACAGAATTACCTACCAAGAGAAAGTCTCAAAGAAGTGAGGCTAATGGAATATTCCAAAAGCTCCTAGAAGACTTGAAAGAATGAAGAAATATGGTACATCATTCTATAATATATGTGGAAGAATCTAGAATAGGTTCTAGAGCATTTAAATGAAGATAAGAGGAGTTAAAGCAATAGAAGCTTCTATAACCTCCTGGAGAAATGGGGGTGACAAAGGATCTTTGTGTATACTTTTAGAATGAGATAGATGTTTATATAGATATTTTTAGGGAGGATTCTAGAACCCTCTTGTAGGATAAAGAAAGTTTCCATGAAAAATTTCACCATAGTTCCTTTCTTCTAGGAAAGGCCTAAGATGTCTATAAATAGAGAGGGGCTCAACCATCCAAGAGTTGTATAAATTCTCCTAAAGTGAATATAAATGCATTCTCTCAAACACTCTATTTGTCTTACTTCTCTTTCTTGCAAACTTGAAAGTCATGCTAACTTAGTCTCACTAGTAAGGCTTGTGAGCATCTAAGTGCTGCACGAAGTGCTTGGAAATAACCAAGGCACAAGGTGCTTTTAACATTTAATATCTCTCACGAAGGAGACAGAGGGCCGGAGTTGCGTTGCAGTTGCACTTTTGAGATATTTTACTTAGGTTCAACTTCTTTTCAATTTGAAAACAGATTAGACAATATTGTTAGATTGCGGTGGGTCCGATTCTAGGCCCATCATGATGATCCAAACCGTTCATATGTAGAGTTTGTTAAATATATCATTCTTGCAAAAGATCACGTTAATCGGACATAAATAACTATTTGATAAGCTTGCATTTGTGTCTGCGATTTACTCTAAAAATCATAATTACTATGGTAAACCTTATACTCAATATCACATTACTGTGGTAAACCTTATACTCGATGGTTTGAGTTTATCAAGGACAGGTTTTGTGCAATTTTCAGGTATTTTTTTCTTCTTCTAATTATTATGTTTAATAATAATACTTTGTAATTATTATTTTTTGCAATTTTTTGTAATTATTTATAATTGTTGTTATGCAGGGATATACTTAATGGATTACGACGCGTATATTCATTACGATTTGTGAGTGGAATGAGGGTTGGCGGTACTTCAGTAATCAATAATAGTGAGATTTTTTTTATTCATAATCCTAAATTTGGTATGTTTAGCAAGTTATAATTTTTTTATTTTTTTATTTTAGACTGTTTATTTTAATAGTTTCTTTTCTTGGTATTGAAGTTTTTTTTTAAAAAAAATTTTTTTACAGATTTTTTTGATGAAGTATTTGAGGAGCTTGTTGAACTAAAAGAAATAATCATTGAAAATTTATTGGAGTCGTGTGGTAATTGGGACGGTTCTAAAGAAATGCTGAAACTTTGTTTTCATCGACTAGTTGTACTGGCTGATTTGTGCTACTTTGTGTACTGTTTTTGATAACTAGTTGCCAATTGAAAATTAAATTATTAAAATAATTTAGTTATGGGGTGGTTATGAGGTCATATGGTATGTAGGGATAACTAAATATAACTAAATTATGAGCTAATATGATAATTATTATGATCTATATGATATTAGTTATGACCCAGCTTCGTAACTAGATGTATGGTACATCCCCACAAAACAAGCACCTACCTAAAAGCCAACTGAAATCACAACAGCCATGACTCTATTGACAAATACACTTGCTAGCAAGTGATAACCAACGCAATCCAACCATTAGCAGTTTGTTGATGTGATGATAAAGATGGGTAAATAGAGGCACTAATGGGACAGAAGAGACAGATAAGAAAGAATTGTGACCATGTGAACTAATGGAACCTTCAAAGCTTTACACAGTTCTAAAGAAAAGGCATCGAGTCAACTTTTTCCTCTAGGCTGCATGTGTTTTGTACCTGTGAAAGTGTTTATTTGTTTGTTGGATATCTTCTACATCTAAAGGTGTACGCAAGAATTGTATGAACGACAAATCTTGATGAATTCATCAATAATCATGTTATACAAACAAGATAATAAACAACTACCAACATCCACGGACACATGTCCGGATCACTGTACAACAAGGGTAAACCCGGGATCGCTATATGTTCAAAGCTTGCTATTGTCATCTCTACTATAAGAAAGCCCTAATCTCAAGTTAAATGACCTGCTGAATGGGTACTAATAATGATTTATATAGTTGTGCTTTTGTTTTCTAGAAAAAATGCAGAAAACTCATTTAGCGAATTATCTTCAAAAACTGTATTCTAATAAATTTTTTGATAACAGCCAATGTTTTAGAAAACACCAAATAATTTTTTTCCAAATTTTCAAAAACTATTTTTGCACAAATAAAAATGATCTGAAAACAGTGCTTTTGAAATTCTCATTAGTTTTGGTCTCAAAAACATGAAAAATGAAAAAATAACAAACATTGCTGAAGTTTTTTGTCATCTAACAGACAAGGATACGTAAATTTTGAAGAAAAGTGACTGATAAGTTGTCAAAGTTGGGTTTGGAATACATTTATTATTTGGTGAATAAAAAATGTTGAACAACATAGAAACACACATCAATTTATGTTATGTTTGGTTGGGAGATTTGGGAAGGGAAAAAGAAAAAGTGTGTGAAGTTAGATGAAATGTTGATATATTTTATTCATATTTCACTTATCTTTTTCCTTTCTTTTTTTAAATCTCTCCTCAAATCTTCCAACCAAACACAACATTAAGAGGGGATAAGGAGTGCGATGTTCGTCCCGTCCCGCTGCCATTCCTGAAACGATATGTCTCTACACTTACGTGTTGGTAGTAAAAAAATTGATAATCTAGAGTTTATTGCTGTAGTTAAAAAAAAAATTAAAATCAAATTTTAATTTTTTATTTTATTTTTGTCTTTAATGAATTCTTTTTTTAAAATTTGTGTTGGAAGTTTTTATTTTCAAATCTTGTTAAAAAGTTTTTTTTATTTTTTTTTTATGTGTCTTTAGTGAATTTTTTAAATTTTTTTACTTTTCATGTCTATTTAACTAGGAACTAAAAGTGAAATGTTCACTAAAAAAAAAAATAATTAAAAGAGCAATTGTCAAACCTAGACTTAGTAGGGATTTATAGCAAAACTCAAATAAAACTTAAATATACTTTTGGACTTGTTTGGAAATTTGGCTATTTTGGTTGGTCTTTTAGCTATTTTAAGCTGGTTAAAAAAGTTGTATTTAGGATGATAGTTGATTTTTTTTTTAGTTGATTTGATAATTGTAAGAGAAAAAATGAAATAATTATAATTTTGATGTGATATTTTGCCTTATTAACTATTTTAACATATTTCAAAATTTAACTTCCCAAACACTCCCTTTGTGTTCACGAGCTTAGGCAAGATGGGCTACGATCTATTTGAGTTGGACTCTATTTTATTTATAGTTCTAATGAATTTTAAATGAATGAAACTCAAAATGTGGTGGGAAATTGTACATATAACATTAACTAGGATTCTTAATAAAATTTAAATAACATTACTTGAACCATGGTCCATGACTAATGATAATGTCTAGCAATTATTGAATTTACCATAATACTCCAAAGTACTAAAACCTACTATAATGATATAAATGTGCCTAGAAACATAATAAATTATAATACACACAAATAAAGACTCAAAATTATTATAAAATTTCAATTGAAATATAAAATTCCATATTTTCCATGATCTTCATCAATCACATTCTAAACTCTAAGAACAAACTCATGAACTTCGTAACCCTAACAACGCAATCTCTACATTTTGAGACAAATCAAATTAACTTGTTTTGATATTGGAATCTAAAAATATATATATAAAAAAAATAAGGTCCAATGGTGATATGGCAGTTTATGAACAATTAATTTTAAGTTTCGATAATGTGTTGCAACTATATGCTTTAAAATGGATTGTTTATACTGACAAAGAACAAAAAAATCTAAAGAAAATTTAAAATATCACCATAAAACAATAATCCAGTAATCAAGTGCATGGATATTGGAGTAATAATTTATTTATTTATTTTTTAAAGTTCATGGTTGGAGGTAAAAGTTTGTGACGCCTCAAATTTTTTTTGAAATGTCATAAGATTTAAATAACAATAACTTGTTAGATAAAATTTTAACTACTAATTAGGAACTTTTAAGTTCTTACATAGTCAAAATCCAACAACAAAATAAAACTACAAGTTCACACACATCGTCACAACATAGTTAAATTCTAATACAAGGGATAACATGATTTTATTTTGATAAAATCTTGACTCTAAGTTAGCCAAGGTTTGATATTGGCAGCAGCTCCAATTTCAGCCTCAGTCCATTCTTCGACATAATTTGGCATGAAGTGCTAGGGCAACAAAATATATGCCATGATTTTTGCAACAAAGTAAGAAAACATAACCAACCTACCATTCCTTTTCAGAAAAATAATGAGATTATAAACACGAGATAAAAATATAATCGCAAACATAAATTACTGCCATTAAAACAATTCAAATAATTTTAATAACTTAGGTGACCCTTGAAATCTCACCAAAGAGGTTTAACTTACCAACCACTAAGTCATGGCCACGGTTAATTTGGAACCCCCCCTTGGTCAAATATTCAAGAACTACCAAAGATACTTACGCTCGGAGTTATATATCCAAGCCGTAACATCCGTGGTCTACCCCAAGGGAACGGTCTGCCAGGGGTACGTAACTTCCCTGCGTGCCACCCGCACATCCACCCTTATTCTAAAACCAAATACCAATAATGGTTCAAATAATTCCCGTGCCATCTTAGGGTTCGCGACACAATTTACTTAAAATTATTAAAAACCAGGGCTCACCCTGAATACCGGGTATTAACCCTTTATCAGTAACTTTATATATACCATTATTCATTTAGATTAATTCATAGATCAAACCCATAATCTAAAAATTTATCATGAAACTAGACTTCTCAAATGTCATCTTTTAGTTAGAAATTACCAGATTTGGCTTAGTAGAGAATTTTAAATAAATTTTCAAATACATAGTAAAATCTGTCTCATAGTTTCAAATTTAGTTAAAAATTTGTATAAATTCGTAGAAGCTCAAAAATTGTTGCGAAATTTTTTTGGATAAACTAGACATCATTATCAACAACTTTGTAGAAGAAATCATCTCGAAATTCTGAGTATAAAATTATCTAAAAATTCGGGTAAACATGCTGGCAGATTCAAAACAGATTATTCTCAACACAGTTTCAGATTTAGTTAAAAATTTGTATAAATTCGTAGAAAGCTGAAAAATTGTTTCCAAAAATTTCTAGATAAACTAAACATCATTATCAACAACTTTGTAGAAGAAATCATCTCGAAATTTTGAGTATAAAATTATCTAAAAATTCAGGTAAACATGCTGGCAAATTCAAAACAGATTATTCTCAACACAGTTTTCCTACACATACATATAAAACTTCTATTTATGAATAGTCATTTTAATCACAAGGAAGTAATCTGAAAGTTTCACTAATAAAAAGAAATGAGATAGTTGAGAGGGTTTTCTTACTTAGTTGTAGAGTGACAAAATGGTTGAGAATTTTGGCTTCCTTAATCTCCTACTCTTCTTCCTCTCATATCACTAAGCTTGGTTGCTTCAGGGATTTCTCTCTTCTTTTTTTTTTTTTTTTCTCTCCGAATGCTTGCATGCACCCTATAGACAATGAAGACTTGCATGCATATATATCTACAATGCTTGTTGCACAAATCTCTCTCTCTCTCTCTCTCTCTCTCTCTTTCTTTCTCTTCATTCTAAGTTTTCTTTCTCTCAATTCCAAGAGCATCATTAGCTCTTCTTCCCTAAACAAGCATGCAAATCAACATGTGGAAAGCCTCCACCAAAATTCTGCAAAGGTTTGATTCCTTCCTTGGAAGCATCACAATACACGTTGTACCCAAGCTAGGGCAACAAAATATATGCCATGATTTTTGCAACAAAGTAAGAAAACATAACCAACCTACCATTCCTTTTCAGAAAAATAATGAGATTATAAACACGAGATAATAATATAATCGTAAACATAAATTAGAACTATTAAAATACCTCAAATAATTTTAATAACTTAGGTGACCTTTGAAATCTCGCCAAAGAGGTTTAATTTACCAACCACTAAGTCATGGCCACGGTTAATTTGGAACCCCCCCTTGGTCAAATACTCAAGAACTACCAAAGATACTTACGCTCGGAGTTATATATCCAAGCCGTAACATCCGTGGTCTACCCCAAGGGAACGGTCTGCCAGGGGTACGTAACTTCCCTGCGTGCCACCCGCACATCCACCCTTATTCTAAAACCAAATACCGATAATGGTTCAAATAATTCCCGTGCCATCTTAGGGTTCGCGACACAATTTACTTAAAATTATTAAAAACCAGGGCTCACCCTGAATACCCGGTATTAACCCTTTATCAGTAACTTTATATATACCATTATTCATTTAGATTAATTCATAGATCAAACCCATAATCTAAAAATTTATCATGAAACTAGACTTCTCAAATGTCATCTTTTAGTTAGAAATTACCAGATTTGGCTTAGTAGAGAATTTTAAATAAATTTTCAAATACATAGTAAAATCTGTCTCACAGTTTCAAATTTAGTTAAAAATTTGTATAAATTCGTAGAATCTCAAAAATTGTTGCCAAAATTTTTTGGATAAACTAGACATCATTATCAACAACTTTGTAGAAGAAATCATCTCAAAATTCTGAGTATAAAATTATCTAAAAATTCAGGTAAACATGCTGGCAAATTCAAAACAGATTATTCTCAACACAGTTTTCCTACACATACATATAAAACTTCTATTTATGAATAGTCATTTTAATCACAAGGAAGTAATCTGAAAGTTTCACTAATAAAAAGAAATGAGATAGTTGAGAGGGTTTTCTTACTTAGTTGTAGAGTGACAAAATGGTTGAGAATTTTGGCTTCCTTAATCTC